TGTGTGTGTGTGTGTGTGTGTGTGTGGGGGGGGGGGGGTTCCTACAACGTGGGGACAATTTTCCCATAAAAGCAGCCTCGTGGGGACCGGAGTCAATCGTGGGGACCAATGCAGGTCCCCATGGGTCCAAATGCAAATTACAGGTGTGGGGTTAGGTTTAGGACCAAGGTTTAGATTATTTTGAGGGTCAGGTACGTTTCTGTGAGGTTAATTTTAGAGTATATGGTCAGGGTTAGGATAAAAAGTCTACAAAACATGAATGGAAGTCAATGGAAGGTCCCCACGGGGTTCAAGAACATGTCTGTGTGTGTGTGTGTGTGTGTGTGTATATGGAGGGTGGTGGGGGCAGGCATCACTTTTCCTAACCTCCTGTTCATGACAGATCAGAACTAAATGAATTTGTGACAGCGAGTTAGTTATCTTGGTCAAACTTTAAAAACATTAAAATGAAATAAAACTGAATTGTGGACATTTTGTGTAGCTGTGGCGGCCATCTTGAATTAGGTGAAAAGTGAATCTCCTGTATTTTTCATTTCATTTATTCACTGAAAATGACAGAGCTTATTATTCAACATAAAAAATATAAATGTGTTGATTTTAGCACAAGTGGCTAACTAATAAACGAACAAACACACTTATGGGAACAAATATCTTCGCCGTGATCCTCCAAAGTCTGTCTTTAGTTAAACGTTTTCAGCTTAAATATTTGTGGACTTGTTTTGTTGCTGGTTGGAAACTCTTCAGTGCATTTGTTGGTCCACAGAACCAAACCTCAGTTTTTCCTAATTTGGTAACTCTGTGTCTGGAAACAGTTTTAGTCAACAGAGTTTGCATTGTAAACATGGAAAATGAAGCCCCCACCCCCACTGAGCCTGAAGAACCACAGAACGGTTCTTTTTAGGGTCAGTAAGAAAACTGACTGTAGCTCAGAAACAGGCTCTACAAACACAAGAGTAACGAAGAATAAACATTTGATTGTTGTCATGTCTCTCCTCTCCATCTTGTTTTGATTGTTTCTGCTGAGGTCACTCAGGATGAGCAGATATTAGTTTATACCTCAGTACCACAGCGCTGCTCTTCCAGGGTACTGAACTGAAATGTAGTGTGGTAGTAGATGAGCATCCTCCCAACACACACTCTGAGCATCTTTACTTAAAACGCTGGCAGTAAATGTTGGAGTCAGCCACATTGGTTAATTTCTTCCTTCACAATAAAACACTGCAGATTTGAATAAAACTCTTAAAAAGTAATAATCTGTTGGACAGTTTACAAAAATCACCAGAACTTGGGTTATTTTTCAGAAAACGGGCAGAAATTGCCTGTGAAAGCAGCTGAGTCATTCAGAGCTGTGATCTGAGAACACATCACAAACTAATATTTACAAGGTTTGACTGTAACTGCATCGTTTTATACCAGGGCTTCTTTACATTACCAATGTATGGATCAAAAATGATAATTATTAAAAATCTTGGTTTAATTTTTATTGTATTTATATTATAACAAAATTAAATACACTTACATTTTAAAAGTAAAACTCCTGTCAAATAATCACAAGACCCTCAAGGTGGCGCTCGCAGCCCATGGGTTAAGAATCCGTTTTATACCATAAGATCTTTTGTTTAAATCTAAAATCAGGCGGCTGATACACATTCCTTTAAGATTGTGTCATTCTCTCTCAGCTTTGCTCATTTTCAAGGTAAATGATAAGAGAAGGTTTATTGATAAGAGAAGGTTTATTGATAAGAGGTTTATTGATAAGAGAAGGTTTATTGATAAGAGAATGTTTTTGTTGTTTATGACCTGATTTTCTCTTGCAGAAAGGGGGCGTGGCATCAGGTTTTAAACACGTGGAGACCAACGACATGAACGTGTCRCGCCTGCTTCACGTCAAGGGCCGCAGGGCCATCAGAGCCACCGAGGTGGAGCTGAGCTGGGCCAGCTTCAACAAGGGGGACTGCTTCATTATTGACTTAGGAAAGGTGAGTTTCTTCAACCAGGGCCCGTATTTATAAAACTTCTTAGAGAGGGTTTTTAGACTTAAGTGCTGAAAATTTCTTAGATTTGCTCCTACTCTCAGACTTAAGTGTAACTGTCAGTTATCAAAATTCTTAAGTCTAAGAATCACTCTTAACTCTCAAGAAAAGTTCAGACTGYTTCAGAGGACTCTTCAGTGGTTCAGAGTTACCACTAGAGGTCTGAGATGGACTGAAGACAGAGATTACAGCTGTCCTCATCTGAGTGGTTTTCTTAGTTATAAGATGTGGAAAACAGGTTTAATCAGAAATATACAAAAGAAACAAAGGTACAAATAAATAAAAAAACTGTGCATAATGTTGGACTAAAAGGCGGAAATCTGTGTGTAACTTTTGGATAAAATATTAAATATCCTCTGCTGGTGAGTGCGTGCGACCCCCCCCCCCCCCCAAAAAAAAGAAAGAAAGAAAGAAAG